ATCATGTTATCAAAACATCGAGTTCCCAATAAGCAAATTATACAATAAACATAAAAGTTGTTAGAACTAAAGAGCGAATGCAAATTTCCAGCTTGAACAAATCTGAATCCCGTTGCCTCAGACCTAACCGAATGAAGAAAGTAACCCCTGCACCACCACATCCAGATTAAATCTAACAAATTCATAATAGGTGATGCTCAAAACGGTCCTTTGTTAGGGTCCCAGGTAGACTGCAAAACAGGGATAGTTAATGAATCTCTAGTGTCGCCGATGTCGGATTTCGCAGCAGTTGTTTGAGAACCTGAGGTTCCGTGCCGAACAGGTTTCTTTGGGTGATCCTGAGTTTGAATTTCAGGAGAATTGGACAGTTGATTAAATTTATCGTACATCACATCCATGCGTGTAGCAAGAGCTGCAATGTCGCTGTTTTGCTTGTCCTGTTGCGCTGTTATCTTACGAATTTCTTTCATGATATCGTGAAGAGTGATGTCTGCTGGTAAATCTGGGTTAACGTCCGGGCTGATACAACCAGAACTTCTTGTTGACGGAGCCATTTCGTTTTTTTCAAAGTAAAACTTCTTATGGTAGTTGAGGTACCTGCGCAAATAGCTATTTTTGCGTTCACGTGTATGGGTTACGAATGTCTTACTATTGACTATTAACTCAAAGCACGCCTGTAATCCTGTATTGTAGAATGCCTGTGGAGTTCTTTAAGTCTAGTGTAAGTTCGTTGTTCATTCAATGCCAACCAGAAACTCCCTAAGACTACAAACACGCTAACCTATGATAACATAATATATACCACACTAATACTATCATCCCTTTGTCCCGTGACCTGGACACACAGGCCTTTGGCTGTCGGAACATGACGTACACTCGTTTGTATGCGTATCATGTACCGTCCTGGTTGTCTAAACAAGCGATTTCTTTGTCCCGATCTAAAACCTAGGCGTCTTATTCTCTCTTTTGAGTCCTCAGCCGCACGGAGGGACAGACGGTGCCAGACATCCATTCTTCGCATACGAGCTGCAGACCGCAGCATCTTTTGCTGGAGAATTATCGATGCCGGGGGTATTCCAGCTTCGTAATGGAGAGCGCTATTGGGAGTGGTACGTCACGCTAGGTGTGCTACTCGGATAGCTTTTATTTTCGTTTTGTCCAGTAGAGATATGTGCCAGCCTACTCCAGTGCCGACTTCTTTATTTCGGAGTGGGGTTATTGGAGTGAGACCCGGCCACCACGCTTCTGCCCCACATAGAGCTGTGCTCAGAACGCATGCATGTACCGCAAGAATCAAAGGTCCGGGTGCTGCCCCACGTTGAACTCCGTTTATATGTCGTAAGAAATGGACTAGACGATTAGCCTTTCCAGTCAATTCCTGCACATGCTGCTTGAAGTTCGTCTGGATATCAAGCCATATTCCTAGTCACTGGATGTGCGGTGCTGGTTCGATTTGACGATCTCTCATCATGATGGAAAGGCCAACCGTGTTGATTTTCTTTCTGGGCCCTCCTCCGGTCACTAGAAGTTCTGACTTTGCTGGGTCAAAATCGATCCTGTGTTCACTTGCGAGAAGAATAAAGTTGTCGAGGTCGTCTTGAGCTGCGGAGATGGCATCCGCCGCGATGTTTCCAATTCTGACAATAGCTACATCATCAGCATAACCAAGCCTGCTCGTTAGACCGTGGTGCTGAAAAATAACAGCGATGTAAAGTATGAAATGAAATGACGACACTGGCGAGCCTTGAGGTACTCCACATACCAGTATCTTCTGGTCTGTGGTTCCACCACGTTAATTCACCTGGAATTTTCGTTGGCAAAGAATGTTCTGATTAAAATGGCACAGGGATAGTGGCCAGCCTTGTTCTCGAAGGCATTTGAGCAGTCGGTTGTGAAGGACTGCATCAAAAGCATCTTGGATATCTAGTGTGACTATAGCCCGCATATTTTCCGCACCTCATGGCCGCCTCAGCATTATAGATTATACAAGATACAAAGTTGACCGCAGATTTTCCTGATACAGAGCCGAATAATTGAGAGTGAACCACTTGGTGACTTATTGTCCGCCATGCCATTCTCTTACCAACTAGACGCTAAATTCCTTTGCCTAAACTCGACAACAGCAAGATTGGTCGCCAACCCTTGGCAGTTGACAGATTTCTATCCGGCTTTGGAAGAGGCACAACTTCTGCCACCCTGAAGGCCGTGGGAAAGTAGCCGATTTTCAGACAGGCCTGGTAAAGATCTTTCACGAGAGGTCCTAGATGGGACCAACAGGCTTTCAGTAGAAGTACCGTTATCTTGTCAGCTCCCGGTGCCGTGTTGTTGACAGAGACAGTGGCGCTTGTCACATCGTCCAGTGATATTCCGTATCCCATGGAATACGCTCCTCCTGTCCATTCTCCCAGATAGAGATATCGTTCTCACCGGTAATCCTTGTAAAGAGAATGTCTCGTAGGGTACTAGCTCGCTCTCGCGGGTCAGATAGCCACCGGTTTTCGTCAATCTGCAGGGGAGGGGGCTCGGCGGCTGGTCGAGGCTTAGCCCATCTCATGAGCTTGAATACCTGTGCGTCAGTTGTAACTGCTTCCACTTGCCTCTTCCAGTACTCTCGCTTGGCTTTTCGTACCACGGCTCTAAAGCTCTTGCGGGCCTCTTTCGCGAGGTCAGGGTTGTCTCTCGCTGCCTTGTACTCTTGCCATTCTGTGCGACATTCATCGGTCCACCATGGCCCAGTTCTTCCGCTTTCGATGGCTGGGACTTTCCCTGCAATCTTGAGCGCATCTCCAAGTGCTTGTAGGAGATCATTTGTGAAGTTTTCGATGTTGACGACACTTTTGAGAGGGCCAGATTTGGTCCATTGGCTAACGCATCGGTTAAATTCCTTCAAGTTGGCGTCGCTGACACGAATGTTCTTTACAATTCCAGAGAGATCTGACTGTCGGAATATTTCCTATGGATTCTTTGTTTGAGGTAACTCAATAACAATTGTTTCATTCATTCGTATCTATCTTCATTTGTGACGGAGCGCCAGGGCCTTAATGACCTTGAACACTCGTCACATGATATATGCTTACACAGCTATTACTAATTATTACCCATTTGTCATTACATCTTCATAATCATTATTGCCACCCAAACTCCAGCATCCTTGTTTAATGCACATCCAAATAAAACTTGTGTCCTACTATTCGACACTGACACTGTAGGGTTAAGCACGGTACCTTCGATGGTCGAGTGATCTGAGGTACAGTGGTAGCGGTTGGACACAGATGCTACATCGGCCGTGTTGCTCCACGTTAGATCTAGGACGTTCCCATCCCTGTGCGTTGGCTCTCCAACAATGCTGACTAGGTCCATGTCGTGGGCTGTTGCCCATTCCATAATCTGGTTACCATTGCCGTACTGATTTGTTGTTTGCGGTTGCCAATGCTGTGACACAGAATTGAAATCGCCTCCAACAACCACTAAACCTCTAACTTCCCACCGGAGTAGGGGCTCCAAGGTTCCACTAGTGCCTGGAGCACGGTATACGTTGACAAAGGTTAGGCTGCCCATCTTTACATAACAGTATTCAGATGTCGGGCCTGATGATGGTAGAAAAAATAGAGTCACATGAATCCATACACGCGTGAAAATAGCAGTACGGGGCCGGACGTCTGTTCCTCCAAATGGTAGGTGGCTATTGTATCTAGGGTGACTTTTTGTGATAAAACCCCCCTCTTTCTTTCTTGTTCATGGCTCCTTTACCATTACTATATATACACCGGTATCTCATGCCTGCTACAATGCTAAATCCATATTGTTGTAATCTAATGCTTTTCATCCTCGGATTTCATGTTGAGCAGTAGATGTCTAACACGTGATGCCATGCGGGGGAGAAGGAACAGGATGGCGAAAGCCGCAAGCCAGACCTAAGCGATCTGGCCCGCTTGTAGATGGGGAAATCCCTTTTGTAAATAGAGAAAAATACACAACAATAATAGTAAGGAACTCAGACATCCACATCTCAGTCATCTCATACATCGTGACCCATAAACCTCTACCTCATCTCTATCACTAAACAACAAAGCTTCAAAAGTATTCACTCAAACCTTTCATCGCTCTAGATATCTCTATTATATACATTCCAAAACTTTAGTAGCTCTAAGTGATCTCAAGTAGACCTCCAGTGATCCTTCGTAGTCTACCCATCCTCTTCTCTACTGCAACTACGCTTCAGCCCATATGCATTTGCTCCAATCTGACAACTGCTTACCATGAAGTTCCGGAATGAAACGTGAGATGAGGACACCTATCACAAACGTCTCGAGCGGTATCAGTAAATGTACGCGCTATGTTGTGAATATTGTGAGCATGACTTGGAGATGTTTATAACAGATACCTTGACAAGGGCAGCGAACCACCACGCATCATCAGCTTGGGGCAGAGTCATCTATGCTTCGGTGGAGGTGGCGGGCCAGTAAGTCGCTGCCAAGGAGCATGATACATCCTTAGTACTGTGTCATGGTAGTAGACTGGGGCTTTAGTGATAAGTAGGCAATGGGAGATATACCTGGGGCAAGGAGTCTCAGTTGAAGACCGTGTAGCACAGGAGTAGTCATGTGGAGCGAAGGCTAGTACGAAAGACGTGTATTTGATGGAGCGATTTCTTTATTTTAAGATGGAAGCAAGCAAATAACTAAATAAGCAATCAACACTATATCATCTGATCAGTATTTATATCATTCTAGTATCATTAATCACACGACAATATTCCAATACCCTATACGAGCGGTTCAATTTCAAGCTGAGCTATCTTCTTATATAGTCGTCGGGGAAGGAGTAGCCTTTTCGGTGACTTGCTCTACGACTGCTACGCTTGCGTCAATCACGTATGAAAATCTATCTGTAGTGAGGCAAGAATCTAACAAGATATTGCATTGTTAATACATGACAACTGTTTCTAATACCTTGACGCAGACCCGTGACACATATGTTGTTTAATAATTCCCTTATACTCATCGCACACTTGGTCCTGGTCTACATGCATAATATATATCGTCAACTTCATATTCCACTCCCAATATCGATTTACCAAAACCAAAAGACACCCTAACTCTGAATGTTGGCGAATCTAAAGATAAATATAAATGTGAGCGTGAGATGATATGAAGTTGGAAGGACACTTGCTAACCTGGTTCGGAAGATTTAATTAAGAAGTACGCATAACCAAAATGTTTGTCCCTAGAGAAGCGACCAGCACCAGGGCGTTGTAAAGTCATAGAGTATTGTTCTTTAACTTGCTCTGCTACTACAGTTCCTTCAACCCGTAAATCGCCGCATTGATAATCCTCAATGGCAAGCACTGGCATCAAGTGAAACAAAAGAGACACGAATGATATGAAACCAAACTCCTTCAAGTCGTAAGTACTAAGTATGGGAATTGTAATTTATATTTCTGTGTCGTAACTGAGTGACTCTGATTCCTCAGACTAGTCGGCGTTTATCTTGCTAAGGAATAGAGAGCGTTGATTCTGTTCTTGTAATATTTAGGGTGGGATGAACAGCAGGAAAAAATACTGAATGATAATGGTAGTGGATGAAGCATATTGTATGCTATTTAACCTATTGCTTGATGCAAATTTGGCCCCAGTGTGACGGCTAGTAAGCCGGTAGATTGCCTGTAGCCTGTGATATTCATCTCATGCATACTTATTACCTCAGCGCTAAGATACGTTGGTATTAAGAGTCTGGTACTCCCCGTGCACGAAACATCGTTGGTAACTAGCCCACACTTTAATAGTGGGAGCCGGACTAGAGGACAGAGACTAGTGTTTGAAATATTGGAATCATGTATATAAATAGGGCGTTGAGTGTAGCAGTAGTCTTGTTCTTCAGTTAGTAAATAAACTTACCTTTCGACATATGAACGCCCAAGCTTTATTTATCGGAACTGTTACATATTTACTAACTCTCACAATCGGAAAGTCTGACTGTTCAGCAAATTCAGTAAACTCAGTTTTTTCAGTCATCTCAGTATTATCACTATATTCAGTTATCTCAGTAAATTCAGTCATCTCGATAAAATTCAGTATATTCAGTTATCTCAGTAAATTCAGTAAATTCAGTTATTTCAGTAAATTTGTTTCATTCCACTATGACAGACGAGTCATTAAAGCAAGAATTAATTGAAATGCAAAAAAAGATCAACGAACTTCAGGCTTCTAACTTGGCCAGGCAACAGCCAATGCAATTCGAACAGGTTATCATCGAAAAAGATCCACCTACAGGGGGGCAAGGACTGAAGCCGACTAAGCTACCAGAGTTCGATGGTAATAAGGGCAACTATTCATCGTGGAGAACAGCAGTCCTAGATATTTTTAGAATGGACTGGAACGCTTTCGGTTACGACGATTCGAGGGCATTTGTAATGATATACACCACGCTTAAAGGCTCAGCATTAAACAAAGCCGGCTCATTTTACGAGGTTGGAGGAGTGCACGGAACTAGAAAGCCGGAGGACTTCATTGAGTTCTTAGATAAGCTATACCTCGATCCCTTAAAGGCTGTAAGGGCAGGTAGGGAACTGCAGGCCATGAAGATGTCTGAGAGACAGCGGTGGCCAGATTTTTTTTGCAGCTTGGACAAACAAATTGACAGAGGCACAAGGAGATCTTTGGGACGATACTAACAAGATATCAATGCTCTGGAACGCCCTAAACAAGGATTTGATACTGGCTCTTGCGGGAAATACTAACTTGCCCCATAACAATTTCAATGTCTGGATTAGACTGGTAAATCAGGTAGCGCAACAGCTGGAAATGGCAGACAACTGGGTGGGACAGAATCAACCTGTCCTAATACGCCAAAGGAACAGCTATTCTGCTACAGGACCGGCAAATTATGCGAATAATGGCAATAAATACCCTCGGGAAAATACAAGTCCGACTGACTCATCTGGCGATGTAATTATGGGTGGAATAAATGCGACTGGTATAACAAGCACGGATAGACAGCGTGCCAAGTGGAAAGCCCATGCACAGCTAGATCAATTAAGAGCAGAGAGGAAATGTTTTCGTTGCGAAAGGGTGGGTTGCTCGTCAAGAAAATGCCCACTTCTGCCCGCACGAAATCCGAATAAAGCGAATATACATATCAATCTCGCTAGTTTACCAGAGATCGACCCCTCAGTGATCGATCCAGAAGGACAAAAAGGATCGGTAAGGGGATATTTGAGCGGGTCGGAAAACTAGAAGCTCCTGTACACAGTCGCGCACGGGAGCCCAAAACAAGTTATAATAAAGAAGATAGGTTGAATACAGATCCATTTCTGATTAATGCATTGTTAAATGATACTTTTATGGTGCAAGCCTTAGTAGATAATGGATGCCTGTGTTCTGGAATCATTAGTGATGAACTAACTGAACGATTGAACTTGCCGCGCATAATAATACCCCCACGAGCCCTTGAGACAGCAGAGAATTCTTCGAGGACTAAACCTGTTGTTAAATACATAACCCACCTGTCGCTCGACCTCGATGGCTTTCATATACCTAAACTTTGGCTGTATGTCGTTCCTTCAAGCACACACAAGATGATTCTAGGAAAAAAGTGGCTTGAAGACCAAGACGCAATAATTCATTCAAAGGACCAACGTCTTGAGCTCAGAAAAGGAAACATGAATATATATAGTGTTCAGAGATGGAGACAAAATTTGAGACAAGTGCCCCATCCAAAATATTCATCAACTGAAGATTTGATGTCGATGAGCGACTCAGTGCCGATCGGCAAAATTACAATAGAGGATATAAGTAAAGCACTCCGTAAAAAACCAATGCTCTCGGAAAATGACGCCAAAGACCGTCTACCGGAAAAAGTAAAGGACTTCGCCCAACTTTTTGCTGATAGCACCGGAGCAAATAACTTGCCCCCATTGAGAGATAACTTAGATCACGCAATCAACCTTCGTTATGAGAATGGAAAGCCTTTGACACCCCCATGGGGGCCTCTATACAGCATGTCTCGAGAGGAGCTTTTAGTGTTGCGTAAAACCCTTACAGACCTTTTAGAGAAAGGATGGATAAGACCGAGCAGTTCCCCGGCAGCATCCCCGGTACTATTTGCGAGAAAGCCTAATGGCGGCCTTCGCTTTTGTGTGGATTACCGTGGTTTAAACGCAATAACGATTCCGGACCGCTACCCCCTCCCACTTTTTAAGGAGACATTACGGCAGCTTTCTAAATCCAGATGGTTCACGAAACTGGACGTCAAATCAGCTTTCCACCGCCTCCGAATAAGGAAAGGAGACGAGTGGATGACAGCTTTTAGGTGTCGCCTAGGACTATTTGAGTGGCTGGTGACTCCTTTCGGGTTAATAAATGCGCCAGCCTCATTCCAGCGGTACATTAATGAAAAGTTACGGAATCATCTGGACGTGGATGTTACTGTATACATGGACGATATTTTGGTGTATACCGATGGAAGTGAGGATAAACATTGGGAGATAGTTCGGAGTGTTCTCTCGAAGCTAAAGGATGCAGGGTTATACTTAGACATCGAAAAATGCGAATTTCTTTGCAAAGAGGTGAAGTATTTAGGTTTTATTGTCAAAGCCGGTGAATGTGTTGCTGTCGATCCATCGAAAGTCAAAGCCATACTTGAGTGGAAGGCCCCAGTAACTGTGTCTGGAGTAAGGTCTTTCCTAGGGTTCGCAAACTTCTACAGATGTTTTATCAGCAAATTTTCAGACATAGCTGCGCCTCTAATTAGGTTAACAAGGAAGAAGTCAACTTGGAAGTGGGATGAGGAAGAAAGAAAATCTTTCAATGAGCTAAAAAGAATCTTTGCAACAGAACCTGTATTAGCCCAGTGGGACCCAGACCGAGAGACTATTTTGGAAGCGGACTGTTCAGGATATGCCATGGGAGGATGCCTTTCGCAAAAAGACAAACTCGGCAGATTACGGCCTATAGCTTATTTCTCAAAGCGCCTTAATAGTGCCGAAGCGAATTATCCAATACACGACAAAGAAATGCTCGCAATAGTAGCTTGTCTTAAGGAATGGAAAGCAGAGTTGAATTCTGTTGCAAAACCATTCACTATCTGGACAGATCACAAAAACTTAAATTACTTCGCAACAAAACGACTACTAAATGAACGTCAGACAAGATACAACGATGTGTTGCAGCAGTTCAGGTTCGAGCTGAAATGGCGAGCAGGTAGAGCAAGTGATAGACCAGATGCCTTATCGCGGCGCGACCAAGACAAACCAAAAGACTTAAATGATGAACGGCTAGCGGGTCGGATAATGCAGCTTTTACCGTCAGTGCCGTTAGGATCAGCAGCTATTATACCTAGTGGCCTTAACAATGAGAAAATATGCGAAAGAGTACCTCAAGAAATACTATTTGACGACATCGAGCTGCAAAGTCTGTGGGAGCAAGCCACTGCGAAGGATAAAATCTGGCAACGGGCCTGTGAAGCTGTAAAATTAGGGGAAAGAAGCTTTCCACCCGATATTGCGCTCGAATTGAAGGCCAATATCGCAGAATGTACAGTTGCCGCAGATGGTCTCTTACGGGGAAGAGAGAATCGTATATGGGTGCCAGATTATGAACCTCTCCGAACAGCCATCATGCAGCGAACACACGATAGTTACCTGACCGGCCACCCAGGTAGAGACACTATGATCGGAATTCTTCTGCGCCGATGGTTTTGGCCAAAAATGAGAGAATCGGTTCGTCGGTTTGTCAGGAACTGCGATGTATGTTGACGTTCCACAATCTGGCGAGAGGCTAAAGCAGGCTTCTTGAAGTCATTACCGATTCCTGAGCGCATTGGTAGTGAACTTACTATCGACTTTGTGACAGATATGCCGATGTCAAAAGGGTGCACAAACATTATGGTAATTACAGATAGATTATCTAAAGATATTATGCTGTTTGGCACACCGTCAATGGAAGCCCGAAAGTGCGCAGATCTATTCGTAGATCGATACTACCGATTTTTCGGTTTCCCACGCTATCTTACGAGTGATAGAGGTTCCGACTGGTTGAGTCATTTCTGGAAAAACTTCTGCCGATTGACTGGAATCAATCAGAGGCTAACAACAGCCTACCATCCACAATCGAACGCAAGTGAAAGAGCGAACCAAGAAATGTACAAGTATCTGAGATCATTTACTTGTTACTCCCAGGACAATTGGATGGATCTGTTACCGCTAGCTCAAATGGCGTTGAATTCTAGACCAAGCTCAGCTAAAGGAGGGATGAGCCCGTTTTTCCTACGAAACGGATACAACGTAGAGCCTCTAATGGAGCCTACCCCAGCCGAGGGACCTGCCTCACGTCATCCAGGTAGTATTGACGCACAG